GGACTCGAAAGCTCGCCACGTTATGCTTTATATGTGGCACAGCTCCGTGACTCTCGCTTTGCATCGCAATATTTGGGAAATGAAAGTCCATTCACCCATACAGAACAAATATCCGAAATACATTTTATGATATCTAACCCTTTTAGGGATATATATTTTTAAACTTTGAAATTACAATTCGTGCCTTACCTTATAATTCCGTACTAACGTACTAACGTACGGAATTGTACGTTGCAAGTCAACAAGCGTTACTCGGTATCTTGGTATTTATTCTAGAACTCATCTTTACATACTCTAAATCAATTAGAATTTCTCCATCTTACATATGCAGGGTGTCCCGAAACTACCGGATGTTATTTTAATGGCAGATTCTTTAGAACATTTTAAACGAAAACTTTTATACAAAAATGTCTAGGCTATAATAGTTTTTAAATAGGAAGCGATTATATTTCACCAATAATAGGGATGAAATTTCGCGCGCTCAGACACGTCAAAATGACAAGTGATAAAGGTGTCACACGCAGTATAGAACAGTGGACACCTTCATGGTAATAATTGATCGACATTTTGTTTAAGTTGAAATATGTTATTTTTACTTGAATCATATTTAAGATGTCTTACAACTATTATTCGTATAAAAAATATACTAATGCAATGCGTACAGAAGCGGCAAAACATATTATGACAATGTTATTGTAACTTTATACAATGATCATAATATCGTTAAAAAAGTGACATTCATAGGAGCAACTTTATCACTTGTCATTTCGACGTGCCTGAGCGCGCAAAATCTCAGCCCTGTTATTGATGAAATATAATCGCTTCCTGTTTGAACACTATTATAGCCTCGACATTTTTTTATGAAAGTTTTTGTTTAGTTATTTGCGCGAAGTGAAATCCTATATCAGAATGTTCCAATTTTTGTCATTTTTAATTATACCGATAGATTTTTCTTTATATAAAATGAATGAAACATTATTTATGCTAAATTTATATTTTTCAATGTTACATTTATTTCAAAATAAAATTTCAAATATAATTCTGTTACAAAAAAACTCACTTACAAATGGACAGAAGAAAACTATTTCGTTTTTTACTTGGTCGGTCCAAGTTCTGTTAACAAAAACTCTACTTTTTTGTTTTTTTTTATTTATGAAATAATATCTCAGTGTTCGTTCAGGTAAAATGAACTCTAAATTGCTCAGAGAATGTCAGTATAAATGGAAGTTGTGAGAAGTAGGAAATCCAACATAAATAGCGACTATCTTACAAATTTGTATTTCCTTCCTCTGTGCGAGAGGGAATGAGTGAATGAGTGATTAAGTGAGTGAGTGAGTGAGTGAGACAGACAGAGAGAGAGAGAGAGAGAGAGAGAGAGAGAGAGAAAGAGAGAGACTGAGGGAAATAATTTGGATAGAATTTTGATTTAAAAAAAACAATACTAATACCCGATTTTTCTAATAATTGATTTGTATTTCAATTATTATATACATATGCGTGTATGAAATTATTTCATGTTACATGTATGTATAATATGTGTGGATACACGTTTTTTATATTTCTTACGTATAATACTTAATAAAAATTAAGAAATATAAAATCAAAATACACAATAATAAAGATACTTCATTTATTTGCAAAAGCAGGTATTTTAGTATCCTATACATATTTTACAATAATTTTTTATTCAAATTTATTTTTTATTTATACATTAACGTTTTATTTGGAACATAATAATTTTAATTTTTGTAATCTGTCTTTCCTATTAATGTGCTTATTAGTTAAAAAAATTCTTTTTTAATATGTATATACTACAAAAAGAATTTGAATTAACATTAACATATTCAATTTTATTTAATATTTATTTAATATTTTGAATTAACATATTCAATTGAGGATTTCATATTTTATTTTTATATAAAGGATAAAACAATTGTTATTGTGTTCCGTACGGGAGCTGTCGTCCGCACGGATCGCGGGCGGCGGGCGGCCGTGCACCAGGCGCGTTCCGCGCGCGGGCGACTACCGCTCGCCGCGGCTTCACGCCGCCGCCGCTACGCGGCAGCGCGCCGAGCCGGGGCCGTTACACGCGGTTAAATTTCGGTGCGGCGCCTATATAAGACGCCGCGGACGCCGACTCTAAGCCTTTTGACTACTATTGCACATCAGGTCACTGCCTCGCTCAGGTATTATTTTGCACTATATCTAGCTTCATATCGCCTTCTTGAGTGCGTCAGCACGTTGGGCTCTTGCCTCGCTCGAGGTATACGTTGCATATCTGCATTGAACTTTACTGCCTTAAGAGTGTCGTAGACACGTTGGCATTTGTGCTTAGGTCTTCGGTGACTCTACACAGCCCTTTAGAGTGCGCTTGCACGTTGGGCTAATGTCTCTAGAGTATCCGAGGACACGTTGACATCTGTGTTACGAAGTGTACGGTAACTCCACGGATCTCCAACCTTCTC